GGGGGGAGAGGGGGATGCAAATAGAACTGCCGCTGCGCAACTCCTCTAATGGTATGACCAAATGTACCACACATTGATATATGACAAGAGCACCCAGTGTAATCTGTTTACATTGTATTTTCCGTCTCCATATTCTTCCCTTCCTTCCTCCTTTTTATTTGGTCGCTGTAACTACTAATTGGGGAAGTGCCACGCCTTTAAAAAGACCAATGTGGTTCAAGAAACGGGTTATCAAACTCAGAACGTAAACTACATTCCCCAGCACTGAAATCTAAATTTGAAAAAAACCCAAAAACCCCCCCAAAAAACAAACATGTAGGTGTTTTTACGCAAACATCGACACATTAAGATTTATCTATTCTAAAAGGCAGGCTTTCGATCCTTCATGTCAGGGTCAATCAAGACTGAGAGGGATACAGTATCTCAGTAAAATGACGACAGAGATACCCGAAAGAAAAAAACAATCCTTTCCACTCGGGAATTGAACAACTGACGCCGGTTCCCCACTCAACACAGTAGAATCAATTGTTAGGCAGGATTTCCGTAACGAGCAGCCGGCCACTATGAAATAGATAGTGGGTTAGAGTTTGAGTTAGGGTTAGGGGTGGGTTTGGGGTTGGGGTTGGGGTTATGGTTGGGGTTATGGTTGGGGTTGGGGTTAGGGATAGGGATAGGGATAGGGTTAGGGTTAGGGTTAGGGTTAGGGTTAGGGTTAGGGTTAGGGTTAGGGATAATGTTAGGGATTGGTTAGGGGTAGGGTTAGGGATAGGGTTAGGGATAGGGTTAGGGATAGGGTTAGGGATAGGGTTAGGGATAGGGTTAGGGATAGGGTTAGGGATAGGGATAGGGTTAGGGATAGGGTTAGGGATAGGGTTAGGGATAGGGTTAGGGTTAGGGATAGGGTTAGGGTTAGGGTTAGGGATAGGGTTAGGGTTAGGGATAGGGTTAGGGATAGGGTTAGGGATAGGGATAGGGTTAGGGTTAGGGTTAGGGATAGGGTTAGGGTTAGGGTTAGGGTTAGGGTTAGGGTTAGGGATAGGGTTAGGGTTAGGGATAGGGTTAGGGTTAGGGATAGGGATAGGGTTAGGGTTAGGGTTGGGGTTAACGTTAGCGTCAGGGTTGGGGTTGGTCTCTTCTTTATTATGTTTGTTCGGGTGGTTGCTCGTTGCGGAAGTCCTTCCCATTCTTTTATCGGAGTGTGCCTAATTCTCCAGAAGTTTTTCAACTGACACGTTTGTCTTTCCGTTGCTGTGACGTAGCTGAGTGCACACATACTTAACAAATATTCTATAACATCTGAGCTCTCCCATTTTTCATGTAACACGTGTTTTTTTTTAAATTCTTGTTTACCTGTCGAAGAACATGGATCGTTTGTGTCTATTAGTTAGGCTGTATTTGTGTGACTTTAACTTTAAAGAAGAGAATTTTCCGTCACAGCCAGGTTTCAAACTCGAGACCAATTGAATGAGAGGCGAACACCGCACCTCAAGACCACGAGAGCCCCTG